AAGCCTGATAACATAAGCCTGGAAGAAGAAGCGTGAAGCGTGCATGGCGAACACTTGTCGAGCGGTGCCTATTTTTGAACTAATCAGCATCGTAATATAATTTTCTGTAACGTAAGTACGTAACCCAACTACTCTCTGTCTCACTCCCTATTTCATTTTCCCATCGCGCTCCTGGATCGCGTTACATGCACGCTCCACTCCTAATAAGAACCATTCACAAAAAAAAAAAAGGAATAATCTAATCATAAAGATCACATGCTCTTTTCTACCAGTATAAATTACTTTTAATTATTTTATCAAAAATAATAATATTTAATTAAATTATTGATATTATTAAACAAATATTAACTAATTTTTATTAAATGTTTCGTTTGCAAAATATTTTTCTCATACACATGCAATATTTTACACTAATTAGAAAAATTATGGATGGGTAAGATCGAGAAGAAACAATAATCCTTTTTTTTTTAATATAAAACGACTTACTATAAAAAGGATTTTCCATTCTTTCTTGAAAAAATAACTTTTATGTGTGCGCGCGCGAGATGGGAAGCAACATTTTTAAATGTAATTCCATTCTTCTACCCAAAACACACACACGCACATACACAAAATTATCATTAAGTGGATTCTGAATGTAATAGCAATGGATTCTAACTTTTAATTCAACATCAATAAGCAATATATACATGTAGACCATTACCAAGCTGTTTCACTGACAAGCTATGTAATGCAATTTATCTCAAATTTTATACTAATGCACAAGCCTCACATAGTTTATTATATTCTCCCGAATCTGAGAAAATAATATTTAAGAACTTTCTAAAGAAAATTAATTACAACTAAATATCTTATAATTATGAAATTTCATAAACTAAATATCTTATAATTATGAAATTTCATAAAAATATCATGGTGTATGTTTGAGATTAAGATTTTTATTGAATTTTTTCTGTACTGATTTTTCTATATTTTTAATGCTTATCTTTCACATTTTCAATAGTTATATTTAATATTTTCAATACTCAATTTTTTTTTTCAATAGTCACCTTTGATATTTGCAAGACTCTCCTTCCCATGCTCTAACATTGAAAAAAAAAATAAAGACAAATGTTTTTCAATATTAAAAATATCCAAGATGACAAATAAAAAAGTAAGTATTAAAAATGACAAAGATGACTCTAAAAATGTGAAAAATGAATATTGAAAATATAAAAGATGGGTAATGAAAAATTAACTAAAGTTTTTAATTCCTTAAAAGGACTATAGTCCTTTCTTAAAATTTCAAAATTTTATATCCTTAACTATGATAATCTACGTAGAGGGTCCTTAAATAACATCCTCCTTAATATTTAATTGATTAAGGTGGTTATCCATTTGCTTAAATCAGCTAAATGTTTGAAATTTTGAATTACTGGGGTCCCTTCAAAATATAAATCAAAACAAGAATAAAAGGGAAAGTTTTATCTTGTAAAGTTTGTAAAAAAGTTAAAGGACAATTTTGTCTTAAAAATTTTCTACTAGATATAACTAAGATTCTTAACTTATGATTGGCACAATTTTATTTGAAAAGTTTAAAAAATGATACAATGTCACCTTACATTAATTAAAGTTTGACCAATATTGATAGTTATTGTGAATGTTAAAGAACAACTTTGCTCTAAAAGTTTGTTTGAGGAGTAATTGGTATATGAAGTTTTTGATTGGTGCAATAATTTTGTCATTAACTTTCAGATAGAAAAGGGATGCAACAACTTGTCATAATCCAAAATGACAAAAAAAAAAAAAAAAGGTTGAATTACATTAAATGATTCTAAATCAAAATCTAAGCTTATCTATATTGCTCATCCATTGTTAAATGCAAGTCAGGCTGATATGGGCCTAGGCCGAAAAGCTCGTTTACCTTAAAAATTTTCATTTTTTTAAAATTTTATTTTTTAATTATAAAATTACATATTCTTTTTAAAATATAACAATAATGTTCAAAAATTAAAATAGGTAATATAAATTTTAATTTTAAAGTATAAACAAATATTTTATGACATAAATCTCATTTAAATTTGAAAATATTTAAATTTTTTAGGGGCAAGATAAAAAATGAGCTAAAACAAGATGGTTAAGTTTGGGCCCAGTTTTACAGGGTTTAAAAGCCTGATTATATTAAAATTTTTTAACTTTTTTAAATCCAAACCTTAATAAGTATTATGCTAATAGAAAATTTAGCATACTAGTTACTTCTTTAAAAAAAAAAACTTCTCAGGCAAAATTACTTTTTAATTATTGTCAGAATTTTATACCAACTATCAACATTAGTCCAATGTTAATATAAGACAAAATTATATAATTTTTAAATTTTTTAAAATAAAATTATATCAATCAAAAGTAAAGAATACAGTTGCTCCCAACAAAATATTCTCATAATAAATTTATCATTTAACCCTCTATAAAAAAGTTTCTATCAAAGTTTTATAAAAAAAATAAAATCAGGCTGCAATGTTATCCGTCATGTCATGTCATTATTGTTTAACTTTTTGAATTCACGTGTTTTCTTTTATGAATTTTCTCTCAATTTTTTTCTTTAAAAATTTTGGAATGAGAACATTTGGCGCTTTATATATGCTTGTATCATTCTTATATTTTTCCTTTTCTTTATTTTTCTCTTATTATATAAAATTTAAGATGAAGATTCACAAATGACACAACTTGATATAACGTTAATAGTTTGTATTGATGATATTAACAAACTTTTAATTTAATAAAACAATACAAATAAAAATTGAAAATTACTCATTTAGTAGTTTAACTATATAAGATTTAAGTAATCCAATGCTGAACTGTACTTTTTGACTAGCTAGGCACATTGCAGGCGAACATAGCGTGTAACGGAGATATCTATTATCCATTATTATTTATAAAGCAAAAACAAAGAAGCAATAATTTCTCTGATATTATCACTGATATAATAATTAGGTTCATTGCTTCTATGTTAATTAAATAAAATATTCAGAGAGACCTGTTCTTTTCCCCCTCTAGTAATTTGATGTCGGACCACAATTTAAGCAATAAAAACGTCATAAACAAGATACACATTTTTATGTTTGATATCACGTATGCTATACTATTTTATATATTTTAAACTCTATACTAATAAAAACTGATTTAATTGATAAGAATTTATTCTATTATTTATGAAATTGTGAAATCAAATCTCATTACCAATTGTTGTCTCTATAAACTCTGATTGTTATGGAATTTTGACTTTTATGATATTGAGAATGGGGCTAGGAATGGGAGTGGGAAAAAATTGTAAAATTATATTTGGTATCCCATGGCATTGACAAAAAATTAGGCTCAAGTTCAAACCTAAAAAAGATCAAAAGACACAATTATCCTCGTCTCTTTTAATTGCTTGTGACTATTCATTGATGAAAAAAAGATAGATCTCCTTTCATCTTCTTGCTATCTCATTGTGTCCCTCCTCTTGACATGGTTCCAAGCACCATCGCATCCTTGTGTGATTTTGATTTTGCCGTTAACATTTGAACGGGTCTCACCCATCACTAGATCTAGAACAAGAAAACAAATCCCGTCATAGCCTTTGTTGTCTCTACTTCTTTTCTTGCTCATGTTGAGGTCCATTGTTGCTATGGGTCTAGTCATTGCTTGTATTATTGCTTCCATTTCTTTTCTTCTTGTTTCTATTAAAATCGTCGCTAGCTAGGGAGGAAGTCATTGCCTGCAAGGGAGGAAGTCACCGTTGAAGTCATCCTAGGGAATGTTCAAAGCTAATAAGGTGAAGGAGAAGGGGATTCAGTCATTTTTTAGGAAAGCAGTTGGTCATAAAAATTTCAATCCCTACATTAATTTTGTAATACTAGGAATGGTGGGTTTTATACTTTCATATAGTTTTTTTATCTAAGTGAGATTGAGCAATTTTAAGGATTGATGAATGATTATCAAATATGTCAAAGGTGGTCATAAAACTCACCTAACGAAAGTCCTTATTATCAATTACCTCAATCCAAGTTTGCAGTGTGCAAATTTTCATTTTTCATGCAATCACTTGAATTATTTAAAATAGACATAGGTCACATATCTTCTATAAATAGACAAAGGTTTTTATATATTAAAAAAAAAGGAGACATAGTTCGCATATTTTACATAAACTTATAAAGCAATCACATGAATTATTTATATTTATAATAAGGAAAATCAATCATTTGGTTATCAAAGTTTTGACTTAATTGTAAGTCAGTTCTTGTAACTCGTTGTAATTCAATTCTTATAGTTTTGATTCAATTGTAATTCAATTTCTGAACTTTAATTTTTGTAACTCAATTCTTATAATTTTAATCATTTAAGGATTAGTTATTATATTTTAAAAAATAAAATTATAAATGTTAAAAATATTTTAAAATTTTAATCTTTATAAAGATTGAAAGAGTTTAGTAATTTAAAATATTAATCCTAAATTTTAACATAATTTTAATATTTATAATTTTATTTTTAAAATACAGGGATTAATCTTTTAAATGGTTAAAATTATAGACACTAAATTGTAAGAGTCAATATTTAAAAATTAAGTTACAATATAGTAAAAATTATAAAGATCAAGTTATAATAAGTTAAAATTTAGAAACTGAATTATAATTGAGTCAAAATTTTAAGGATTAAATGATTAATTTTTTTATAATTTATAAATAATTGAATTTGAAAGATTAGATGGTAATAAATTTTATATTCCCTATTCATAGACGGATTATTAATTTTATTTTAAAAAAGGATTTTTTTTGGGCCAAAGTTGCATTTGGAAAATTGATTTAATTTAAATAAATATTGATGGTTGATTGAGAAAGAGACAAAAAAAAAAAAATAATAATAGGGGAGATCCGGCACAACGGTGTGAGAGTGAAGGCGCGTGAAGGTCAACCCAGAGCGCCACGCCTTTCAAGCATGCCAAGGAAAGAGGACATTTGTCCTACCCCTTGTATCTCGTAATTTTCCCTCAACCGAAACTCACCTCACCTCCTCGTCACCTTCTTCTTGTATGTATCATCCATTCTCCTCCTTCCTCTACCCTCTGGTTCTGCTCTTTTCTTCTTCTTCCTCCTCATCATAATAATCATGGCGGCATCGTTACTGTAACATTTTCTGAAACCTTTTTCACAAAGATGGGTTCTGGTTCCAAAGTTGGGAATAGCAGTCTTGATTACTCCTTCAAGGTTTTGCTGATTGGCGATTCTGGGGTTGGCAAGAGCAGTCTTCTTCTCAGCTTCATCTCTAACTCTGTTCACGATCTCTCTCCAACTATCGGTACTTCAATTGATTCTCTCACTTTTTTTAGTTTCATTGTCTTCTCTCTCTCTCTCTCTCTCTCTCTCTCTCTCTCATGCTTGTAGACTTTGTTATGCCACGGCGCGCGCCTTCTCATTTCAGTAACAGTTATTTGAAAGTGTTTATTGGGGAGAATCATTTTCTGGGTTTGAATAGAACAGGATGATTCTAGGATAGGATGGTTCATCAATTTTTGGGTTGAATGCCAAGCTCTCGGTTATGGGGTTTTCAATATTCAAAATGGGAATCTGAAAACGGCTAAGGTTTGGTCTGATTTATCCAGAATTTGGGGTTCCTTTATTGGAAATTCTTTATTCTTTGTGTGGTGATGAAGCTCTCTCAGTCATGAATTCTTATAGAATTTCTCTCCGAGTCAGCCTCCACATTACTCTCACTCTTTAGTTCCGATTATTCTGATTTGTTATAAGCTTGCTTCAATTCTATAGAAGCTAATTTGAGCTCCTTAAGCCTTACCTTAACTGCACCAGGTGGATATAATGTAATAAAACACTTGATGGTTTTGAAGAGGAATGCTTTCAACATGGTCCATTACAAATTATAGAAGCCATGTACAGAGGCTTTGATCCATATTAGTTAGATTGCAGCAAAGTAACTTCCACGACCACACACATTTTCTCAGTTCCCTGCTTCGTACCTTTTCAACTTAATTTTTGTGATGAGTGTCTCACTTGAGATGGACAGAGTATCAGAATTTTGTTGCTGAGGGCTTTGAATTCTTGGTTCCAAAGATGTCAACATTCTTAAATTATTTTCAGGTGTGGACTTCAAGATCAAGTTCCTTACAGTTGGTGGTAAAAGATTGAAACTTACTATTTGGGACACAGGTAACAGATTTTCTGCGTATATATGACGATATTCTCAATAAGACACCGAGTATCTTGCTTGTAACTTTGTGATATCTGTTAATTTGCAAATAACTGAATGCTGAAAATGATCTCCAGGCAGGCTTACAGAAAGGCATGATAATTCCGACATAAAAGAAATATACTCTTTCACTTTCCTTCTTATGAGACAAAATAGACAAGGGTTCGGTGTTCATATTAACAAGATAATTTCCAATTAATGTTTTTTTTCTTCCAAAAATTCCTTTTGGAAAACTATGCTTTTAATTAATTAAGACAGACCCAGAGAATATTATCTAATATGGGCATTGGTGGAAAGATGAGTAATTTTAAAGAGATCAATTTTTTTTTTTGGGGTTTGTGCAAAAGTAGGTAAAGTTGTCTTATAAATAAGAACCAAGGGAGTGTATTAATATCTGCTTTGTTGAAGAATTAAGTGAAAGTGCAAGTTGCTACTTGTACTTTTATGCTTTCCCTGAAACTCTATCACGGACAATCTAACTGAAAAAAATGTGTATAAATACTTGTTGTCGCTCTTGCACTAAGAACCTGTTCTCTTTCCATAATTCTTTGGCCCAATCTCTAGTATCTGCTAGTGAAAGCGGTTGTCAGTTAGATTCTGTATTGAATTGACTTGATGAACTTATTTGTCTCATCCCTTCCAGATCTCTGGGGTTATATAGTTGACTACTACTTGTTGCCTATGGAATTCCATTATTACATGAAACTTGTCACCAGTTATTTGGTGTCATTGGTTAATATACTTTGAATTTATTGCAGCGGGCCAGGAGAGGTTTGGAACAGTGATAAGCTCTTACTACAGAGGTGCGCATGGAGTCATTCTTGGTATGCCAAAGATATTGAAAGACTGAATTTAGATGCTTTTTGCTACATATTTAATTAATTTTATTTTGCATGTAGAGGTGAATTGATATGGGCACATCTGTTACACATCTTTGAATGAAAGATGATGGTCTATTTTTTCAACTTAATATTTGATCATTTTGATTAAAATTGATATTCATGTAGTACTATTTGTAAATGTGCATACATTGATATCTCATTAAATGGCTGGATATCCAGTCAGACAAATGTTATGGAATGTACAGGGAACAACTTCCAAAAAAAGTTTGTCTCATTCAGTTCTCCTATGAAAATGAAAATTGGTGGCTAGCTTCTTTCATTGTATTTTGTATTATTTGCAATTTTCAACATTATAATTCTCCTTAGCACGAATTGTGACCTTGACAATATGCATGTATATGCTCTTTTAATTATTGACAATTTTATTCCTATTTTTATCATCTTCATGCTATGCATAGTACATTATTACTTGCTTTACCAGATTTTATTGTTTTGACAATGCTAGCAGACCTTAGAAATCACATTTTCCTAGAGGTGAATTTAGCACAGATCGCTTAATTTGAAATGATTTCACTTCTCCTCACATTACCACTACAATTCAGGAAAGGGTGAGGGTCTTCAATTGTTCATGCTCATTCACCAGAAAATCTTTCTTACACTTTCTGATTTGCTTCTAAACATAGGAATTGCTGTGATCAATCTGAAGTAAAAGTTTAGATTTTAGAAGAATAGTACTATTGCTAGTGAGGACAGGGCTAGGATTTGTTCCTTAAATGTTTGTGCTTTGTTCAAAATATCGATATTTAAAATTACTTATTCCGGCACTAGTCTACTTGGAGCATTTGCAGTAATTTATTTGGAATTTCTGGCAGGAAGCAGTATACTTCGCAATGTTTTTGTGTTCACTTATTTTTCTTTTCTTTATTCCCTGATTATTATGCTGAAATCTAAGCACTTTCCTCTTCAATTTTCAAATGCAGTCTATGATGTGACACGGCGTGAAACATTTAAAAACTTGAAGGACTTATGGGTGAAAGAAGTTGAACTCTACAGCACTAATCCTGAGTGCATCAAAGTTCTAGTTGGGAATAAGGTGGATAAGGTAAATTTTATATTAAATGATCATATATCAGAGGTTCAAAAATAACAATTTCTCCCTGACCTAGAATTCTAAATCTGCATGATGTCAATAAGTTGCATTTTTTTTTCCCGTTTATTTTGACCTCAGTCCTTTTTTACCTTCAGGATAGTGAAAGAGTTGTAACCAAGGAAGAGGGTATGGCTCTTGCACAGAAACATAGATGTTTGTTCCTAGAGTGTAGTGCTAAAACTAGAGAAAACGTTCAGCAATGCTTTAATGGTCTCTCCTTGAAGGTATATATGATTTTGTTTTAACTTTCATTTTCCTATTATTTTCCGAGATCTCTGCCTTACCTATGTAATTTTCAATTTGTAACATTTGTGTGTGGAAGCAATGGTTTTTACCTTCACTTTTATTATTATATCACTGAATTCTCAAGTTATGTTGCAATTTTTAGTGTTGAGTTTGAGTCTTGGATTTGTTAAAATTGAATCATTGTGGATATTGAATACATTACTTGTATTTCTCAATCGATTTAATTGCTCTAATGTCTTGAGCTGGATGTTTAAACAAAGCTCATAGTTCTTCGTTTTAGACTTAACTAATTACAATCAAGTCTTGAGATTATTAGGTCTATACAACTTTATCCACCTAAACCTGGTTAGTATATAAGCTAATCAATGAAAATAATTAACTTGTTGCCTCACACTCTCTTGGTGAAGTAGACTAAGCATGCTGGTAGTACTAATGTACAACAAATAGCTATGATGGGAACTGATTTGAGCTTAAGGTTGCTATTGTAGCTGATAACACAATGCTGAATCATATCTCAGTTCAATTTTTCCCAGTTGTCCTTGCTGATGTTAATAACGACGATAACTAGTTGATGTAGCATTAAGCTGCATGGCTTGCAACTTGTCAATTTCTCATGTTCTTCAATCAACTATTGATTTTCAGATATTAGAGGTTCCGAGTTTACGGGAAAAGGGGTCTTTAGTAGTGAAGAGACAAAAACAAATGCACACGCGTGAGAGGATGCATCGAGGTGGAGGCTGTTGTTTAGAGTAAATATGGTACAACAAGAAGACGTTTTTTTTTTTGGTTGCCCACCCGGTTCACAAGAGCTGTGCCCTAACTACATCTGGATCTGACCCGCGTCGTGCACCTAGCTTTGGTGGATGAGTCTCCTAGCGGAAATTTTCTGCATACACAAGGCTCGAACTCAAGACTTTGTTTAAGCTGAATTGAGTTGCTTACCATTCGGACCAACTCCTGTTGGTAACAAGAAGACACGTTAGATTCCACACTAGAGTTACTAGAAAACAGGTAGTATTTTATTCATATCACACAGGATCCAATAGTCCAGAAGATTATTACGTCTTTGATATTTTTTCAAGCCTATTGTCATAAATTTCTCAAGTAGTGTGACTTAGAGCAGGGAAAACAGGGCTGGCCTGTTTAACTCAAGTGCTGGGCCTGAGGTTGATAGGCCTCAAGGGTTATTTGGGCCAGATCTGCTGTCAATATCTTTTGGTCTCAGCCAATCTGGTTGTTTGGGTGATCGAAACTTTGTGCTTTAGCTTTGGGAAAATGTCAAGTACATGTTATGTAAATGTGTGCTATGATATCCATTTTAAATGTGTGAAAGTAAGTCTTGAATCTGGCTTGTTAGATAAGCCACAGAAATATACGTTTTGTATTATTTTTGTTTGTTGATTTTACTTCTCCTTTTGGGCGAGTGATGGATTTGTATTTCTTGAACCTCAGTTCTTATAGCCCCAGAAATCGATACTTATGCTTGTTACAGTATCCATTTTTGAAGCTGTTATAAAGCTTCATCTTTGGTCAAGTCAATAGCGGAAGATCTTCATGTATTCTTTTTATCTATTTTATGTTGCTTAAACTTAAATAAGGATTTCAAGATTTGAAAATTGAAAATAAGGACCAACGGTCCTTTAATGAATTGGTATGAAAGTTTGATACTTTCATTTCATAATTTCCAGCTCTTAAAACAAAAATTTGTAAGTGAGATTGCTAATTTGCAAAGGACAAACTTGCCAAATATATTATTATTTGAAAAGCATTTTCCTTTAAATTAAAGGATCTTACTTAAAAATTTGTGTTTTGCGAGTTGCAAATAAATGTATGGTTGACAAGTTTTTTCCACAAAATTAAATGTCTTTCAACTAAAATATTTTGTGTTTATTTTTATCTCAAAAAAGAAAAAAAACCCACATGTGACATCCCTACTCTTGCAATTTCTAAATTATCTTCCTTATATGTGACAAGAGACAACATTTACAAATATCTTTTTAAAAAAGTTTTCATGTCAAGTACAAAATTTATGTATCAAATAAAATTTAGGTACGCTTGTAATTTTTAAAAGGGTTAAATCCAATTTCCACATAATCTAAACCATGCATTTTCTCATTTGTCAAAGTTGATGTCTAACAATTTGATTAAAATATGAATATTCAATAAAAAAATTCTTTTACATTCCACTACTTGCACGCTGGGATGTTATGACAATTATATGCCAGTATTTTTTATTAATAGAAAATATAGTATTTAAGGAAGGTAATTGTCTATATTCCGGTAGTACCAAAAAGTTGATCACCAGTGTTATTTATATTTTGACAAATGTTTGAAACTAGATTAAATATTTTGATCACAATGTGTTGATCCATGAATAACAATAGACTTTGCTATTTTTTTTGACCTTATAATATTTACTATTTAGTTAAACTAAATGAGTATTATTTGGGGTTTGAAAAATAACTATATTGTTCATTATTTATGAATATTATTATACAACCAATTTTATACTATATATTGAATATTAATTGATATATATTGATGTGTCGACATACTTGAAATAAAGCCATGAGTAGCACAACCTAACAAGTACAATTTATGCAATCACTATATTATTTCATAAATGAGATTTGTGAACTGTTGACATAGGGTTCGATAATTTGATAATAATTAATCATGATCAAATAAATACTAATTAAATTACACACGCACACACATTACCTGTATTCCTTCAAAAATAAATATAATAAATTATTTACATTAAAAGAATATATAAATATGTTACTAACATCCATGAATATGGGTTTAATTAATTTCTTAGTGACTCATTATGACTATTTTTTAGTATACATTTTTCTTGGTCTTCAGTCTTCACTTTTCTTGATTTCTTGGCAAAGAAAAATTAGAAAAATACATATAATTAACAAATGCAATGGGTATTTAAATAGGCCATTTGAGAGTTAAACAAATCCATTTCATGATAGGGTAAATCCATGGGTTTGATTATATTTCATTAAAATTATAGTGTCGTGATGTTTAGGGTCTAAATTCAATTTAATTTTCTTACTTTATTAAAAAAAATGCATGAATAATAACTAAATAAAGGAGAAGTGAATTCAAATAAATGAAATAACCATCCGTTAACCACAATTTCCAACCAAGAAATACTAAAAATCTGATGAGAATCATATTTTTCAAAATAACTCAGAGAGGAAATTGGACTTCTAATTTTGTCAATAACAAAAGAAGCATTTCAAATCTCAAACAGAAAATTTGGCCCCAAAAAAAAAAAATCAAACAGAAAAAAGCTGCGTCTCTAGATCAACACAAAGAATATCAGAAAACCTCTAACGGGAAAATGACAAGGAAACAAATTTCAAGTCCTAGACTCCGGCCGGCTTTTGTACTACTTGAATCTCAAACTCCTCCACTTTCTGGCTCTTTCTTTGTCACTCAAGCCAATATATATTCACATATAAGACCGTCTTCATCCTCAACATAGTTAAATCTCAGAAGCTGATCAATGGCTTCAATGGAGCTTGTCAGATGTGGTATTATTGTGCTGCTAATTACAGTATATGTGACAGTAGCTAACAGTGCTGATTTATTCCTTGAATGGCACGTTACCACTGATTCGAGTATCAAGCCAGTGTCTGCGGATCAACCTGTAAATGATTAATTGATTTTAGCCTCTGATTCTATCTATATATTGTAGCTTAGTTTCTTGTGCTATAATTCATATGAATGATGATAATGGTTCTGCGTTTTGCAGGTTATAACTATCAATGGTATGTTCCCTGGTCCTCTTATCAACGCCACGACAAATGATATAATTCATCTCAATGTTTTTAATGATTTGGATGAACCCTTGCTATTTACTTGGTATACATTTCAATAAGTTCAGAGCTATTTGATTGTGGCATTGAAGTAACAGAATGTGTTATTGAACGAAGATTTGAATTATTTGGTTCAGGAATGGGATTCAACAAAGGTTGAATTCATGGCAAGATGGGGTCTTAGGCACAAACTGTCCTATTCAACCTGGTACAAACTGGACTTATGCCTTCCAAACCAAAGACCAAATTGGCACTTTCTCCTACTTCCCTTCCATCAATTTCCTTAAAGCTGGTGGAGGGTTTGGCCCGATTCGAGTCAACAATGGCCTGTTGATCCCGGTTCCCTTTGCTAAACCAGAAGCAGAATTTGATCTTCTGATTGGTGACTGGTTCCAAACCAACTACAAAGTAACACTTTTAATTGTTTTCCATGTACACCTCTAAGTTTATAGTAATCTATTCATTTACCTAACTTTCTGATACATAATCTACTGTAGGATGTGAGGTCCAACCAGAATGCTACTCCTGATTGGGTGCTAATAAATGGCAAGCCACCATATATGAACAATCTTTCATTATCTCATGAGTCCTTCAATGTGACACAAGGTTAAAAACACCAACAAAAGTACTGTTAGTACCTAGTAACTCCGATACTATGATCTTGAGTGACATATATAGTAACTTCTGCTCCATCTCCATGTGGCACAGGAAAAGCATACTTGCTCAGGATATCAAATGTGGGTACAACATGGAGCTTCAACTTCAGGATTCAAAGTCACAAAATGGTTCTGGTTGAAACTGAAGGATCATACGTGAGTCAGATAGAGTTGGATTCTCTTGATGTTCATGTAGGGCAGTCTTATTCTGTTCTTGTCACAGCAAACCAAAGTGTCTCTGATTACTATATAGTGGCCTCCCCCAAACTGTATAATACCAATCTTGTTGGCATAGCTGTGCTTCACTATGAGAATTCAACCACTCCTGCTAATGGTTCTCTCCCAAGTGGTCCTGACCCATTTGATCTTCAGTTCTCAATCAACCAAGCTAGATCTATCAGGTAAATACTTGTGACATTAACATGATGCATTCACTGCTTATCAATGTCGTTGTTCACTCTATTTCTTCTTGTATGACTCTGTATATCAATAACCTTCAAGGTGAGAGTATGTCCCATGCTAACAGTTTTGGGAAGTTATTAATATGTTTTACCGACTTTTGGTTCATTATTATGCCAAATTTACTTTGGGGGTCTGTTTTGTATTGAAGGTGGAACCTAACTGCAGGAGCTGCAAGGCCTAATCCTCAAGGAACCTTCAATGTAACAAACGTGACAATATCTCAGACCTTCATTCTGAAGGCATCAACATCTGATATCAATGGCTCTCTGCATTATACAGTAAACAATGTGTCATACTTGACCCCGGATACCCCATTAAAGCTAGCTGATCACTTCAGCAATGGAACTGGAGTATATGATCTTGATGAATATCCCACAAACTCATCGAATGACAATGCTGTTCGCGGAGTTTTTGTGGCGAGTGGATTGCATAAAGGGTGGCTGGAGGTTGTGTTCAAGAATGAGTTGGAGACCATAGATACTTGGCATTTGGATGGATTCAATTTCTTTGTTGTTGGGTAAGTGTTGTTGTAGATCATTTTGTATTTTTCTGCTATGAAACTAGAAGATGAACTTGGAACTTGATGTTTTTGTGTTTAGGTTTGGAGAGGGAGAATGGAAACCAGAATTGAGATCAACATATAACATTTATGATCCTGTGTCTCGCTCCACAGTGCAAGTGTTCCCTAGAGGATGGAGTGCTGTGTATGCATACCTCGATAACCCTGGAATGTGGAATTTAAGATCACAGAAACTGAGAAATTGGTACTTGGGCCAAGAGCTCTATGTGAGGGTCTATGATCCTGATCCCAACCCTAACAAAGAGGAGCCACCTCCACAGAACCTCCTCTTATGTGGTCAGTTCATGTCCCCCCTCTCTCTCTCTCACTCTCTCTCGCGCGCGCGCGCGCTTAGATATGTTGCAGTAAGGAGCAAATTTCAGTGTTAAATACTAACAAAAGTTAGACTAAATATTAGCATCCAGGACTAGCCTAAAAGATAAAGGTGTCATGAAGATGAAATTTTGATGGTAAAACTGTTATTGCAACAAGAGGATAGACACGGTACACAGGATGAACATGAATAAAATAGAAAATAGAATGAACAATTGTTGAGGATGAGAAACGTAATGATTATGAGGGCTTGATGGATGCTATATTCAAATGATAGAAGGAATTATCTTTCCATCTATGACAACAAAACATGGAAGAGTCAGTCGCTTTTTTTCCCGCCATAAATGGGAGGAATGTTTCACTCGACTGTAAAATTCAGAGCAAATAAAAACAATAGTTCTAATTTTAACCTTTAATTTGATATAGGGAGAATGATAATCAAGCTCTAAAAGATAGAATTAACGACAAGTAGACTTTCAATAAAATTTTCTTAAAAATAAGTTATAAATATCAATTGAAATAATTACAATTTTAGGAGCACTAATTGCAAGTAAGACATTTAAATTTTAGATGTAATTTTTAACTTGCAATTGGAATTCTTATTTGTAACTGCTTCAATTAATATTTGCAACTTATTTTTTTTAAAATTTGTGTTGAGAACTAAACTGTCATTTAATTTTATTTTTTTTGGATTTTACTATTATTCTCTCTTTGATATATGATTGAGATGTTGATAATTATGGATAAAAACAGGCAAGTATCAACCTGTTGCGCCAAGCCCTTCTCCTTCAGGGCCACCTCCCCCAAGCCCTCCTTCCTCAGGGTCACAAGCCCCAAAAGTAACATGGTATTGACATCACTTAGACATCATTTTAAGTATCACTTGTATTATGTCTGGTGCTTAACATCTAACATGTACTATTCTTTCTTGCTTGTTTTGTTTTGTGTGTATTAATAGGTCTCTTGTTGCCATGATCACCACCCTGACTCATTTATATTGGTTAGCAACTTGAGTGTTCTGAGGCTGAGCCCTTTGCTGAGAAGATTGAAGATTCAGATACATTACTGTATTCTTGTCAATATTTACTTTTTTTTTTTCCCCTTTTAAAACATAAGATACTTTTGATATCTGTGCACAGAGTAGATTCCATGATGGCCACAAAATGGTCATTCTAAGTTCTAACCCCAAGAAGCTGATCTTATTCAGCCAAGTCCAAATATATCCTGATCCAAAAATGTCTAAATCTTGTTTTGGGATTGCACTGGTACACATTGATCACGGTAATATGTTGTTCTTTGTTCCCTTTTATTCATTAGTGTCATTCTGTGATTTGTGGATGATATTTAAATAAATATATAAACATTTAGGTGAGATTCAACTCGCAATCTCTAGCTAACGATGAGGTCATCGAACTAGTGACTCAGCCCTCTGGGTATGATATGATTAAGAAAATAGTTTGTGGGCAAAAAAAGTTTGACTTCAGCTGCATGCATAATGATTTATAATAAATACATAATTGTAAATTAAAATTGTAATTACCATAGCTATAGCCTATACTGTTACTCTCCATTCTTGTTCTTCTAAAATAAAATTAAATTTCCTACGATCCTACCCATGCATCTTGATGAACTTATTTGTACACCTTCAAGATACACTATTATTCTGTATTAGCTTATAAAAAAACTATTTTTGTCTTTCCACTTGTTAGTACTACAAGATATAAGCATAGATAAAGTTTAAGATATTAAAAAGGGTGTACAGCATAGATGATATAAAATGGCATCAGTTTAAGCAATTAAAATTTTTTTTCTATACACTACATGATCATTAAAACCTTTAGACCCTGGACAATGCACATGTGAGATAAAGCAATATAAAGTTCACGAATTGGTGAGCATAATCTAACATAACGAAGATTTTGACTTGAGCTCTTATTTATTATCATGATAAGTGATAATGTCATTCATATTAATAGGATATAAATAGGGAAAAATTACATTTAAAGACATGTGAAAAAAGTTATTCATAGACAAAAACTAATAGTAAGTTACCTTTTAAGAAAAAATAAGTTTATATTTTATTTTAATAATAATATATTTTATGTTGATTCTTGTTTGTGAATAACTTTTTCCACAATCCCTGAATATGATTTGTCCCATATACAAAACCTTGACCCACTTGATATCACTTAAACGTTTGGTTTATCATTTATATTAGTTATACATTTTCATGTGTCATCATATATGCGATGGCTTTGAAAAAAATAGGATGGATATTAACTTTTAAAAGCTATAATCATTTAAATCATTTATTAAAAAATTAAAAATATAAAATTTAATTTTGTTATTGAAACACACAAATTACATTAGATTATTTTTATATTTTTTTGGGACCTCTGGATAGTGATAATACGATTATTAGTTTGTAGTTACAATTTAACTAGATTTTATATAATCGTATGGGATATTAACTTTTAATTGTAATATAAAGGAACAGAGAGGAGAAAAGATTTTAGTGAATTTAATTTCTAAATCTAACTCATTTAAGCCTTTGAAATAGGCTCGGGCTCAAGTGATTTTAAATATCCTATATAAATATTTTGATAATAAAATTTAAAATTTTAATATATTATTTTTTAATAAAAGTAATAAATGAAGTAGGGGTATAATTAAAAAAATAATTTTTTCAATATATTGTGTTTTACATTTTAAATTATTTTTTTAGAAGATATTTTATATTGTGATTTGGAAGAAATATTTTTAATATTGGTTTCAAATTTACTACTCATTTTTCACTACGGGTCTCATACCCACCTTATTATAAAACCCTTGTAATTTTTATTTTTATTTATAATAATTTAAAATTACTATATAAAAAAATAAAAAAAGCCAGAACTACAGTATGGTAATTACTGTAGAGAGGATATATCATTTTTGGAGTAACAATTCCACCGAAAAAAAAGAAATTGATTCCCAAAGGATATTCCCAGACACTTTTTAGATAATCAAGATTTTGTTTTTAGTTTTGTTTCTTTTAAATCTGATATTGCTATTGCAGTGCAATCGTAATTGCACTTGTGTCATTTTCTATTAATAATAGTGATAATTTCCTGTGCATTCACATCTAAATCACATAACACACAAGATTTTAATTGTTTTGAAAGTCACTGTGGTCTTTGGCTGCAAGTGTTGGATGAATTGAAGAAGCTCAGCCTCAGTGACAGAAACTGAAAATAATAATGAGCAATCAGATTTTACTCATACAAGCACAATTTGCATAAGCTTCTCACTATCAACTTCAACAAATTTGTTGGTAGTTTTCTGTTGACATTATTGTTGTTATTACTTTTTTTTAATTGTGCTTTGTTTTTTAAAATAAAATATTTACAAGAAACTAGTTTGAGTGAGTCTCATTTTGATAAGATTATTTCCTGTTTACACTTATGACTATATGTAATATTAATAATAATCCACCCTTTTAATAATGAAGATTTATAATCTACACAACTTTTTAATGTAGGATATATTCATGATTGACAATAACACTAAACGTGATTTTTTTCCCATTCAAGGAATGCAATTTGAAAAATAAGATGCATTGTGTGTACCTTTTATACCCTGAGGTACTATAAACTTTTTTATTATGTATACTGATTTTTTAAAAGATAAAAGCTGGAAAAGGCAACTTTTTCTTTCCTTCAAAAGTTTAAGAATGAGAGGTGACCATAAAAAATAAGAGACACAACAAATGAATGAACGAAAAGTAAAGAAAACTATATCTTAATTGAAAATTTTAAGATTTGAGTTTGTAGATTATTTTAATTTATTAGATATTATTTATTAAATATAATTTTATCCACTATGGTGTATCCCACATCAAAATTTGCCTAGATTTTAGACATTCTAACAATTTCTCTTTCAAATATAAGTCCATAGGCTACTCATACTTAAAACATCATAAATTAAAGTCTCTTTTTTTTCTGCAATTAGGCTAATCCTCTTTTTGAGACTAGGCGAAACATGGCTTTAATATTATTTATTAGGAATGAATAGCGATATTCAAAAATGAGAAAAAGAATCAATGAGTAAATAAATAGTGAAAAATACTATATCTTAATTTAAAACTTCAATGGTAGGGTTTGTGGGTTTTTTCATTTTATTATTCATTACTAATTTCATCTTATATGACATTTTCCACAACTCAAGTCTATTCACACTTTAATATCATAACACAAACTTTTTATAAATTTATAAACTATTTATGTAACACAATTATTTAAGTATAACGCGGCTCACTTCATGCAAATCCATACAAACATGTGCTCATCATCATTATATCATTTTAGGAGTATCATATTTAAGATAGAATTCAACGAATTTCTTTATACACATGATAACGTCCGAAAGTAATAAAGTAACATGGTTGATTATTGAAGGGCATTGTGTGTGTGTGTGTGTGTGTGACACCAATTGACCAACATAGGTATTGCAAACCTACCCATGGTTACAACTCTAAATTGATGAAACCCATGAATTAAATGCTAAAATAATTTAATTTAATCGTTCAATTCAATAGAAAAAACATTTGCTGTCTTCACTAAAAATAATACAAATCTGTTGTGTATGACTTGGATGTACATGGCTATGGATCCCCCACCCCCACAATATATGTGTGTGTGTGTGTGTGTGAGCTGTAAATCCAGCGGAGCAATTAGAAGGCTTAAGGAATTATGAATTAGTGGGTGATTTCACAGATAGCTTAGATGTAATGACTGGGAAATTAAGTAAACACAGACACAACATGCAAGGACAAGCACAAAAGTCTCTCAGAGACAACCTAATTTAATATCTTTGTAATGTTAAAAGAAGAAAACAATAAGGAGATTCATGTGTCAATCACAGAAGAGAGAGAACGAAGAGAGAGAGAGAGAGAGAGAGAGAGAGAGAGGTTTCTTGTGGAGAAAACAATGAACCTTCAACAATGACTTTTGGCATAATAGCCAACACACACTCACATACGCTCTCTCTCTCGCTCTGCAGTAATAATACATCACTCACATTCTCTGCCACTGAAAAAGAACCAAAACCCCCCATGATTTTTTTTTTTTTTTTTAAAGATACCCATCATGCACTTTCCATGTGCTGTTTTACACTTTTTAGAGAGACTAACCAAATTTTCTAACACAGTGAATAACTCCAATAACTCACTTGTATAAAGATGACTCCTGAACTCACATTCTTCTGTGTCATAATTCATGTATGTGAAGAATCTAACTTGACATAGAATCAGAAGAATAACATCTGACATGTACAAGATTTAGTTTCTGACAAATTAAACTTGAAGTTTGAAACTTTTATATAGAAAGAATGACACATATACAGATTATGTGGTTTGTAAGAAGGAATAATATCTCTGTTTATCCACTTAGATCATAGTGGGAATGCTTCATGATAGAAAAAGATAACACTTTTTACTGACTGTGATACCAAAAAAGAATCTTTGTGTATAGAAAGAAACAAACTGTATCTCTAACTTGTACCAAAGCCTGCTTCCTGATCATGTATGTAGAACCGAATATGAATTCTAATATTCCAAGAAACGAAAAAGGGGAGAAAAAAAGACGAAGATTTTTTTTTCTTTTTTTTAATATCAGTAATGACAATCCACCAAAGCAGGTGAAGAAGAAAAAACCAGACGTGCTTGTTGTTGCTGCTGCTGCTTGTTTTCAAATGCAAAAGATGAAGAATCACTCTGATCATCTTCTGGAGCAGGGAGATTAAGATCTAAATCCAAAGACAAAACATTTCTTTTCTTTCTGGGTTGATGATGATAATCCTCATTATGATGTTGATCTGCTTCCAAACCCACTGGATTGTTGCTGAGAGCCAACGACATCGTATTGGTCGTTGTTGTCATTGTCGTTGTCATCCCAATGGGTGCCCTGTGCCTTCTCATATGGCCACCTAAAGCCTGACCAGAAGCAAACTCAGCCCCACAAATAGAACACTCATGAACCTTATTCTTATTATTACCATTGACACCGCTATTCAGAAACTGAAAAGCAAGCGTGTTATGACTCATATTAACATTATTGTTCTTGTGGAGAATAAAGTCTTGCTCCTTCTTCTTCTCTTTGTCTAGAATGACAGCCATTGGAGGCGAGTTCTTAGGCTTCTTGTGGCTGGCTCTGTGGCCTCCAAGTGCTTGAAAAGAAGGGAAGGTTTTATTGCAAGTCTTGCATTCATAAACGTAAAAACCTGCTTTGTTAGCTCCCATGGTGGTTGCTTCCATGAATTTCTTACTGCTGTTATAATTATAATTGTTGTTGTTGTTAGACTTCATTGTTGTCGTGATCATCGTGGTCGTCATGTTGCCTTCTTCCTCGGCGAGTTTGGGAGAATCCCGAGATTGGCCTTGAGCAAGAAGGATCAAGCAATTGGCCATGTCCTCCTCCTCCTCTGTGCTGCTACTGCTGTTATTGTTAATGATGACAAGATTTTCTTCAAATTCTGCAGAAGAAGTGGTGGCTGTAGAGTTCTTGGTGTTATTATCTTCGTCGGTTGTGGAGATGGTAGGCAACAATGGAGATTGTGGCCTAACCCTTTTGGTTCTCTTGCCTTTGGCGATCTGGGTTGGGTCTTTAGGCCCCAAAGAAAGAACTTCTTCTGGTGCATCCATGGCTGACAGAGAGAGAGAAACAGAGGAAAACAGAGGAAGACAGAGAAGGAGAGGGAGAGAGAAGGGCAGGGAGGTGAAGAAGGAGAAGGAGGAGGAAGCAGGCAGGGGAGGCAGAGTAGTGGGGAGGTTGGTTATGGTTATTTATATAAGATTTGTTGGGTGTGTTGTGTGTGTATTAACTATTAACTATTCAATTCATGAGTCAAATACCACCCAATACAACAGTTACTGTGAATCACTCCTCTCATTCCAATCCTCTTAAATTCTTAAATTTAGGTGCTTCCAAATTTTAGAAAATCTCATCTAAGATTTTACTCCTTGTTTGGCTTTTTTCTTTTTTAAAGTTATATTCCTGGATTCGGTGTTTTATCATGAATATTATGTCTATTTTTTTTACTAAATTGTTCAGATCAGATCTAAAGAGTCCAAATGATATTTTTCCCACCTCAAGTTTTGATATTTTTATTTTAAAAAATAAAGTATAGATAAAAATAATCTTCAGCTATGAAATTAAAAGATAATGATGATTTTTCTTGAAAAGTAAAAAATTAAATGGTGTAAATCAAATCTGAATGAGCCAATAAAAATGAATAGTGTTCCGGAAACAGTAAACTCGGACTCAACGTAATAATTCTGTCTGCTTTGCATGAAAGTCGAATTTTAAGGGAAAAAAATATATAATATCATTTAAAAGAAATTTTATTTATAATCAAATAATTGAAATTTGAAAAAAAAAATGTATTGAACCAAACAAAGCTTAGAAAGGGAATCTGAATAGAGAGAGAAGGCAATCTAATTTAGAAGGAAATGACCAAAATTAGAGTGGGGATGAAGGGTTAATAGATTGTTTCACTCTTATAACCAAAAGCTTTGGTGGCACAATGTATGACTGCCTCACTCTCTATTATTAGCTTCCTTCCACATAACAATGTGTAACATGGCTTTCCTAATTCTCTCACTAACTAATTTCAAGCCCTTTTCCACATTTATTTATGCCTTTGGCATCTTCTGCTATATATTCTCTGGGTTTTATATCCAAGATACTTCTAACTATTTTCCCAAAATTAATGAGGGGTAATTAAATTAATAATGTTGTATAAAAAGGAAAATTTTCTTAATTTACCCTATTAAACATATCATCTTTAAAAATATTTTCTCTCTTATAGGCAACATTTTATTCTAGTCATGGAAAATTATGAAAAGGTAAAATTGAAAAAACATAATTATTAATATATATATGTTTTATGTAATGACATGTAAAAAGAAGAATCAATACTTTCTGAAAGATACCTTAAAATAAGATCAGAAGAAGTATTATTTATGCAACTTACCCATTTTTCATTTTTCTCTTTTACTCCTTTTTTAGTTTTAAATTTATTTTCACATTATTACTTTAAGAATCCTTTGAGGGAGTTCTTTTTTCCTTTCTTTCTTTTTTTAATATCAATAGATTATGAAAAAGACATTAGAATTTAACCCATTCAAATTAAACTGGTCCTATCACATGGATCATATTTAGATTATTTGATTAATTTGAAATCGAGGGGAAAATAAATAAGTAAGGCACAGGACCCCATATACAAATTATGGGTTTGTTTTTGTAACAAAAATAAGTTTTGATATCCCTTAAAAATAATTGCAAAAATCGAGAGAACAAATTAGCAATAAGGAAAAGAGGACACTCATCTATAAGTCATTTTACTCTGCTATATATATATATATATATATAATATTTTTTATTAAGTTTAACTTTATTTAATATGGAATTGTTTTATGTTATTTTAAGTTGACGTACACTTGATCAATCATCCTAAATACAAGTAATGAAAAAGTTAAATTTAAATTATTAAATAAAATAACAATTGACAGTGATATTGTTTTTCTCTTAACTAGAAGGCACAAAGGAACACACACACACCCATCCACCCACCCCCCCTTACGCGTAAAAAAAATATAAAAATATCCATTGAATATCCATTGAATAACAATTGATGATGGCACACTGATTGGGTGGTCAAAACTTTTTTTTTCTAAAAAAATAATTATTACTTCAATTATTCAACATTATGAATTATAAAGTATAATTACTATAAGAGGTTGGGAAATGCAATTGAGTGAATTTGATTAATGTAATAAACTTGTGGTATCTTAATTTTTAGAGAATTATGATTGATGAGCATGGGATACAAGTCAATACATGCCATACATATTTTTTTATTAAAGAGGAAAAAAAATACCTCGCTCAAGATTTAAGAGTTTTCATGCCAAAAAATAAAAAAAATTAAGAATACATAATAAATGAAACTCGCAGGAGTAATATATTTTTTATTTTATATTTTTTATTATGGTATTTCAAAAAAAAAAATCTGATTCGGATATAACAGAAAGAAAGAAAAAGAAATTACTTGAGGTGAAGGATAGTGCATGGGATGATGGCAGTGCAAGCCTGTAGCCACGGAATCTCCGGCGCTCCGTTCAATTTTGTATTCTCTCATGTTTTATTAATTTTTTTTCATGTTAATGTTTTAATTTTTATCTTTAAAAAAAATTAAACTGTTCAAATTTGTTTCGTTGCGGCCAATTTTTAGGATACGCTCGTTGAATAGGAGTCTACTCAACTGATTGAAATTGTCAATATCAAACTTTTTTGTTATTACTGAGTAACGATTCAGATTCTTTTTCGATCCTATATGTTTAATTATTGTCAATTAATATAATGATTAGTTAAATAACCTATTTTCGCTTAAATGGTAGTCTTGAAATAATGTGTGTGTATGTTTTGAAGGATAAATGTGTATTTTTACTCTTAAAGTATTCTTTGAAGAAGGCTCAACACTCTAGCATATTTATTGAAATACTTTCACTCATAAAATAATTAAATTAGAGCATCCTTTACTTTGCCAATAAGTTGATTGAAAATATGACCTAACGAATGTTTTTGGAGACTTGGTGATAAGGTAAATGATGCTTTAATTTAATTATTTTAGGAATAAAAATGCTCTAACAAATATTCTAAAGTATTAGGCGCTCATAAAAAAAATACTTGAAAGATAAAAATACTTCAAATGCTTTAAGCTTGAAACAACTCAACGAGGTAGAATCTTTTAGTTTTTATTTGAGTTTAATTTAAACTGTGGGTCTTGTAATGTCATTGCCCCTAAATATAACAATAATAAAATTTATATGTGTGAGTAAAACAAGTAGTTAGAAATGACTTCACTTTGATTCATTGAGAAATTTTGGGGGTTTTAGTAAAATAAATTTCCACACTAGAATGAAGCTAAAAGAAAAGAGAAATTTAATATGAAAATGGGTGGTGCTTGAGGAGCATTTAATTGGCTGTCATGTTCAGACAGAGAAATTAGAGCATGAGTTGTTAACTCACGCATCATTCCATAGCATGGCATTGAAATTTCTGTTTATTAATTAATTCTGAGATGTGAGACTTTGCTCATTTCCCTATTAATCAATGGTTTTCAACAACACTGCCTTGCTTCTTCAAAACATGTATTATTTATGTGAGTGCCAGTAAGTGACTGCTCCTTCTTTTTCTTTTTATTTCTTTATTTTTGCTCACTAAACATTTGAGCATAACATGATAATGGTTAGCAAAAAAAAAAAAAGTAATTGATTCTTTTGTGGATCAGCTCATAAATCTTTACATTTATCATATTAAGTTATAAATTAAATAATGTTTTTCAAAATATTCAAGATGAAAATGTTTTCTCAAATAAAGTAGGAGAATACATTATCATGAGAAAAATAATTGAACGTCTAAAAATTTTAATTCAGTTATTCATATATTTATTCAATAAAATGTTCTTGAGCCAACTTGGTCGGGTCACTTAATAAATTAGTTTGAGGATCATTAATGCTTCCTATGTGCTCTGAAAAGAAAAGAAAACTAGTGGGAATTTGGCAACGTTTCACTTATTATGGAATTTGTTTATCATCCATCAATTCTAAATATTTTAATAAAAGATTCAAATTAAAAAGCAATTAAAATTTATTACTAATGTATGTTTTCTTCACAATGTTTGTCCTGAATCCAACTTCATTATCAATATATTACTATTATTATTTTTTATTTTGACCATGAGGCATGAACTCACTTAGAAGTAAAATGCTATAGCTTTAACTATAATTTTAATTTTAATCTTAATTAGTTAGACATGTGATGGATTAAAATGGTGACAATTAGGTTTCTCTCATGCCAATGGATTTTATTTAATTTATCAAGAGAATTTTATGTTTCTAGTTCTAATAATCGACTTCATGCGCTGTTCATCTTAAATCAATTGCCAACGATTTTTTGATCCCAAATCCATTGCTTATCAGTTTATCCAAATCATAAATAAAAAGTTATCATTAGATTAGAGATCGACAATCCCATTATAATGCTTATTTTTTTGTTTAATCCATTCTCTGTCTTGATTCTATAAATTACATACAAAAAGAATTTTGTTTTCAATTTTCATCAATTTCATTATTTTTTTTTCATTATCTTTTCTTCTTCCTCAAATTCCTGTTAACCTATGAAGGTTTATCAATGGGCCAATTTTGTAAACACTATAGGCTAAGTTGGGCCTTCTTGTGTATCCACGATAATAACAGTTGTGCCTTCCAGGTCCAAATAGGCTTTCTTTCATTTTAACGTTAGCCCATAAGTCTCTCTCTCTCTGACTTTCTCAAGCTTTTCTCTCCCGCCACTTGTAAACACTTTGGGGCTTGTATGCTGACACTTAACTCTATCAGCCACTGGGAGATAGTTGGTTTATTTTCCTTTTCTTCAATAGAAAAAAATGAGGCAAATTGACCAGTCGTGCTACAAAAAACAAATTTATTTATCAAAATATTATAAATTTAAAAATATTTATTAAAATGCTATAAATTGAAAATCACTTCCAATAACACCAAGTTCATATTTGGCTTTTCAGTATGAGAATAGAAGTTGGGCTGAGTGACATCGAGTTTCATACAACTAATATAAAAAAAATGTGTCAGTTGTGACAAGATGATTACCATTGTCTCATTGTCCCTCATGCCAAACGTCTTTTCTCCCTCCCTCTCCTCAATAAAACTAATTTCTCGTGTCCTCTTGCAAGCTCAAACAATTTTCTTTATCTCATGCATATAGTATGTAGTAATATCTAGATATTATATGTAGTATGTAGAAAAAAAATTATACATTTACATTTTAT